TGGCATCAAGACTTCCTGTGTGCCTTTCCTGATCTAGAACTTAAAAAAAAAAAAATTCTGCTTTTTATTATTAAACAGTTTAAGATAGGACCCACTCTCTCAAAATTTTTAAGTTTTTCTTTTTAAATACATGTACGTATCTGTGTGTAGGTATCTGCATGTGAGAGCAGACTCCCATGAAATCTAGAGGAGGGAATTGGATCCCCGGGAATGGAGTTACAGGCAGGTATGAGTTGCCTGACGTGGCTGCTGAGAACTGAAATCCAGGTCCTCTGCAAGATCAGTACATGCTCATACCCACTGAGCCATCTCTCCAAACCCATCTCAGATTTTCACGTGTACAGTGCAGTGATGTTAGCTATCGGCACAGCACTGCATTTGTGCCTACCCATCTTCGTTACCGAAACCACAGGCCCACTGTTATGCTCTATGGCCTCCTGTCCCTGGTCACCCGACTCACCATATGGTTCAATGACTTCTCTTGGTTAGGCCGAGAAGCACCTTGTAGATTAATAAAGCATACTTCTGTGTGCACCTGTGAGACGCTTCTGGAGACAGCTATTGGAAAGATAAAGATATACCCTAAATGTGAACGTCGCCATGCCCTAGTCTGGGACTCTAACAGAATTAAAAAAAGAAAGGACAAAGTCAACTAATTCAGGCACACAGGCTGCTCTGTTCTACCCTACCCTCCTGGCCATGATGGACTGAGACCTCACAAACCATGGGCAAAATAAATCACACTTCCTTGATCTGTTATATAGGCTTATCCTGGGGAAAGAAAGCTAACAGGCTTCACCTGAGCACTGGATCCCTACTGCAGTGTCTGACCGCTATGACTACCTTATGTAGCTTAGTGTAGTAGCCAAGGGTCATTCATGTTGTCATGCATTGCACAGCTTCTTTCCTCCTCAAGGCTGAAGAGCATTCCATCAGGTTATATGCCTCATGTTCTTTATCCATATATAGTTGTGGAAGTTTGCCATGTTTCTACATCCGGCTACAGTCAGCACTGTGGTATTAACATCTCTTCAAGACCCTGCTTCCAGTTCTTTTGGGGAAGACACCCAGAAGTAGATTCCTGGATCGCATAACAATTCTATTTTTAAGTTTTTAAACAACTCCTGTCTCTTCCTGCTCCCTGCACCCTCCTCCATGGCTCCTGCTCTCTGCCTCCTTGTGTCTCTTCTCTGTCCTTTAGAATAACCCGGGGCGATTATTCTCTGTATATCTCAAATTCTAACGCCTATCCTAGTCAGAACTCAGCAGCTTGTCCTTCAGTGATTGCACAGAGACTGTTCTAGCCCTTGAAGGGCACAAGATGGGATCAGGTACTTATATGTCCTTTAAAAATGTAAAACACGATGCCTGGGCTCACAGCAGGCAAAACTGACCCATTACCTGTCGTGTAGAGACCTGCCCTTGAGTTCCCTGTTGCCCATAAATGTTTCCACTGTAAAAGGAAATTACAACAAAGACCACAGCTATTTAAAAGAATGCCCCAGACTGGGGAGCCTATAAAGAACGAAAGTTTGTTTCTTATTATTCTGGAGACTGAGAAGTATGGGGTTTGAAGGCTGGCATCATGCAATAGAGAAATGTAGGAGACAGAGGGGGCATGGCTCTTAAGAGAGAGCAAAAGAAAGTAAAACTAACTTACAACAAACCCACTCATGATATTCAAGACGTTCTCACAGGAATATCTCCATCCATTCTTGAGGGTGATATCCCACTTCTCTGCGCCACCAGAAATCAAGTTGTCAGTATGACTTTGGGAATATGGATTCAAGCTATAGCAGCTAGCTGACACCACAGAGCCCTGGTTTCTTCAGCTGTAAAACTGGGTCGAGTAGTCTGAACTAAAAGGTGCTGTGACAGGTCTCTCTCTTTTCCCGATCCTTCTTGTGGCTGAGTTTATCTGTGCGGAGCTCAGCGTCCTTTGGTTAATAACCCTCGATCTCTGACTTGTGAGAGGGTGTGTAGTCTTGATTCCCTGATATCGGAGAAAGCCAGTCACTTAGTAGCCTGGTCAGAATCCTAGACCAGAAACCTGGGATGCCCATTGTGCTCACTGTGTGACTCCTGCTGGGCCTTATGCTCCTTAGGGTGCCTTTTGTGTCTATGGAAAGCCATTAAAATTATTTGAGATTAAATGGCGCTTCCGTCTTATCCACCTCCATGATTTACCTAGTTTTCTTGACTATCACTTGTAAACCATCAAATTTATGAACCGTTTAAGGTCTTGTCTGACCAACAGCCCAGACGGGGTGTGTAATACTGGATGCTTGATAAAAACCCATTTTCTCTAACCTCCTGACAACCCATCAGATAGAAAGACAGGCTTGCCATACTGATTGGAAATGACAGATCCCTTAGCCCAGCTACACAGAAAAGAATCTGATGGTCAATAGTGTCGGGAGGGCTCAGAAAAATTACCCCTCCTCCTTCAAGGGACAGTGAGGGGCTGTGCATTGGGGAGAGGGAGAGGCTGGAGAAGGTGGAGAGGCTGGAGAAGGTGGAGAGGCTGGCAAGGATGGAAAGGGTGTAGAAGGTAAAGATAATAGAGATCCTAGAGTAGAGAGGGTGGAGAAGAGGGAGAAGGTGGGAAGGAGGAAGAGGATGGGGAGGAGGGAGAGTAGGGAGGAAGGAGAGGGTGGGGAGGAGGGAAGAGCAAGTTCCTATTATCAGCACTATCTTTGGCCAGGTCCAGGGCATGGTTCTCATCCCACGAGGAAGAGGAAACAGTAGGAAAACTGTTGAGGAACTGCCCCTATCATACACAGACAGAGGCCATGTCAGGAGATTATTCAGCCATTTACCGATTCACCCTTAAGAATACTTATCTCACCTGGTCACCAAAACCAAAACAAACAAAAATAGTTAGAACAGATTAGGGATGTAGCTCAGTTGGTAGAGTGCTTGCCTTCCATGTGTGAAGCCATGGGTTCAATCCTGAGTAACACACACATACACACACACACACACACACACACACACACACAC